CTCCTTACATCATTCCCACCCTTTTTCAAAACTGGAGTTGCCCATTGTTTTCCATTCCTTTAGAAACATAGTAGAATGTTTACATGTGTGTAACAGTTAACAGAACCAGACCCGGAGAGAATAGGCAAGGGTGATGCCTTGAAGTCAAAAGCTTTCAGGCAAGAAAACTGAAAATCACATGTATGCTTATAATCTCTTCATAGATCCAAGCTCTGGGCCCGCTCTGCTGCAGGGGGGAAGGGCAAGCTCTGAGGATTTGCTCCCCCCTCCCCCACCCAAGCTGTTTTCTAAACTTTCTGCAACGGTTACTAAACTCATACCTGTTCTGTGTTCTTGAGGCTTTAGCATTCTTTAAAAAGACTTAATTATCTAGAACCAAGACAGGAAAGAAGGATGGTAAGAGTTAAAATGAAAATCACATAGGCTACATTTAAGTCTTGTTTGACAGCCTTCAGTTAGATATTAGCTAATCAAACTGTATAGATTTTCCTTCCCCAAATATACTGCTGGTACTTTCACGGATGGGGATTTTAGAGCAGAGCTGGAAGACAGCCTACTGGCTCGATGCCCTTCACAGGGTCTCACATGAATAAAAGCTGAAAGAAATAGTAAAAATAAAGTAATAAGGTAAAAATAAAAATCTGAAAATCAAAGGAATAGTAAACTGATATGTAATTCATCCTGATACCCTCTGTGGGCTTGCATCTGGTTTGGCATCTGCACACACAAAAGCCTTCTTTTTGAGGAGGAAACAATTGCAGGCATTGAGGTGCAGAATCCAGAAAGAAGGGTCATGCTGAGTTCATGAAGCCTTGGAGCCCACTTGGCGTTGATGAAGTTGTCCTTTGATTTGAATTCATGCCAAAATACAACTGTTTCCATAAAGAATACTTTAAAAGTTATACCATGACAAGGGAAACTTACTTTTTAAAAACTCCTAGACATAAAGATGAGTCGAAGTGTTGGAAATCATAAACTCATGAACACCTGTTGCTATATTTTTATGTACATACATATGTCCCCTAAATACCATAAACTCCTCTGCACTAAAAGCTATCTCTGATGTTTCCTTGGATCCTCAGGGTCTAACACACTTCTGTCCACAGAGGAGACACTTCGTAAGTTGAAGAATTATGTACCCATTTAATTTTTTGAGTAGCTAGACTGTGCTGTGAATTGCTAGTCGGGTACTAAGATGAAGCAAAGGTGGATCCTATTTTCAAGGAACTATCAGGCTAGGAGGGTACGTATGACATGTACAATATATGTGAATATAAGATATATACAAGATGTATAAAGTAATAAGACAAACCGAAAAGAAGAAAGTGTTATAGTAAAGCTAGACAAAATTCGACTAGAAGTTCAAAGGAAGGAGTTCAGTAAATGGGAAAGGCTCATGAAGAAGTCAGGATCTAACAGTGATAGAAACCAATTGAGTTAGGGGTGGCTGGTTGGCTCAGTTGGTAAAGCATGTAACTCTCAATCATGAGGTGTTGCGTTCAAGCCCCATGCTGGGAGTGGAGCACCTTTAAAAAAAAAAAAAAAAGGAAAGAAATTGAGTCAATGATGTGACGTTATTTTGGAAACAAATATGATAATAAAAGGAATTTGGCATGAAAAGCATTAGGTTTCCTGGAATATAAAAATGGTTGAACTTGTTTCAAGGTATTTTCTTCATGTTCATTCATGCAATATTATCTATCTAATAACTGTGCTTTTCCTAGGGAAAAAAAACCCCTTCTAAAACACTAAATGATATCACAATTATTTAATCTAAAGATATGTTTTTAAGAGTGGATAAACCTTTGAGGTTACTACGTGTTTGGAAGATGAGCGAATGTACAAAAAAAAAAAAAAAGATGAGCAAAGCAGAATATAAGAATTTGGTGCTCTGAAGTCTATCAAACTTCTTCCCCTGATTGCTTTCTGGCCCAGTGTTATTCCCGATTGTACTCTGGTTTCCCCTTGTGCCCTCACTGACCACGGAAAGCCTGGGAGGATGTTATATATGACGTTATGCACGAACTAGAATGTTATATTGATGATAAAAGCAGTTTATTACTTTCGGTAAGTACCGAATCTCAGAGTGAGGGAGTCAGTGGATTAAGAAAGAATTAACTGATTCCCTCATTGCGTGTTTCGGTCTCAGGCTGAGCTCTAGAAAGAAGCACCAGGTCTAGGGCGGGTCAGGGGGGGCCACTGGCCCATGTGAAGGAGAAAACACATCTGCTGTCCTCAGTGATGACGGACCTCCTGTTTCACTCCTCAGTATCGTAGTTCGGGAGAACTTACACCTTATCCAGACAGGGCACTTCTGAGAATGGAAGCTGCTTTCTCAGAAACAATCAGGACAGTGGGGGTGAACCCAGCAGTCCTGGGTAAACTGGGGCATTTCAGTCACCCCAATTACCTGGACTTGAAGAGATCTGTTCAACAGTTGTGCAACTCAAGGAAATTGGGAAGTATGTGAAATTTGTCTTCCCTGGTGCCATTTTTACTATTTTTCCTGATTCTTCCATTCCTGGGCAACACTTTTTGGCCAACAAGATAATAAAATACCACCCCCCAACACACACACACACACATCTTTTAGAGAAGGTCTCTGCAGATTCAGACTTAATTGTAAGAAAGTATGAAGAGTTAAAAAAATTTTCTTGTGATGATTTGTACTCTCATGAGGATCAAAGTCTCAAACTAAAGCAAGGCCCATCTGAGAGTAAAATACAGAGAGTCTATTGGTGAGTGGGGATATTTAAGAAAATGTATCGCAAGAGTAATGTCTGCTTATTTAAATCAGAAAAAAAACAGTTAAACTTACACATAAAGCCTGTTTTACACTCACCCATCCCCATTTCCCAGGGGTAACATTTTTTTCTCCTGTGTTCTTCAAGGTAACTTTTAATTCACATTGTAGTACGTGTGTGTGTGTGTGTGTGTGCGTGTGTATATATTCATATATATAATTTCTTTTTTTTAAGATTTTATCTATCTACTTGACAGAGAGTGGGAAAGAAAGCACAAGCAGGGGGAGCAGCAGAGAGAGAGAGAGAAGCAGGATCCCCACTGAGCAGGGAGCCTGATGTGGGGCTCCATCCCAGGGCTCTGGGATCAGGACCTGAGCTGAAGGCAGATGCTTAACCGACTGAGCCACCCAGGTGCCCCTATAATTTCTTTTTTTAATTAATGGGATCATACTACACCAATGTTCAATAACCACCTTTTTTCACTTAAAGATACATTTGAACATCATTTCATATCTCTATCTGTGACTATGTATCTCAACTTTATCAGCTGAGAGCAAGAGAGGGGATACTTAGGGGGGACAGTCCCTAAAATACATAAAACAAAGTTAAAATACACATTGCTAACATTTTTGAAGAACAAGAATAATAATGAAAAATTTACATTCTGATATTGATAAAATAATGAAATAATTTTGAGTGTCCTGTTAAGATTTCTTTGGCATGAATTCATTTTTAGCAGGTAGAATGGACATATTCACACCTCTAGGAAATGCAGGGCTCTGAGTAGCTTCTGCCCAAAGCATCTCAGAATTTCCACATCACATCCATCCTTTCCCGAATATGTCTATGTTTCTGCGGGCCAGCCACCATGCCGGGCAATTTACACTAACAATCACATGTCTACTTCACAACAGATGGTTCCTATGATCCCTGTTATTCAGGTTGATGGTTTGGGGGTTAAGAAGGAAATGGGAAGCTTTCAATGGGCAACCTTAGGAAATTTCGAGTTCTAAAAACCGTAATTCCTCTCTGAGCACCTCAGAGGCCCTGAATCACTGAAGTTCCTTTCATCCACACTGCTGTGTTTCTGGGGGTCAGCGTCCAGATGGAAGGGTGGGCATCTGTGCCTCAGATCAAGACAATTTAAAAAAGCATCATTATTTTCACCCTACAAATGAAGCGCCGGAAGATCAGAGGATAAGAAACAAGGGTAATGTGACTAACTGGGCAAAGTGTGATCCCAGGCCTGTCAGACTTCAAGATCCTTATTATTAAAAAATCCTAAATGAATTCTGAGCTAAAAAGTAAAAGAACATATCTCCTAGGGGTGCCTGGGTGGCTCAGTCGTTAAGTGTCTGCCTTTGGCTCAGGTCATGATCTCAGGGTCCTGGGATCGAGCCCCTTGTCAGGCTCCCTGCTCAGCAGGAAGCCTGCTTCTCCCTCTCCCACTCCCCCTGCTTGTGTTCCCTCTCTTGCTGTGTCTCTCTCTGTGAAATAAATAAATCTTAAAAAAAAAAAAAAGAACATATCTCCTTAAATTGTGTCTGATAACTTTCTAGATACTATCTACATTTTTTTTCAGGGTGGGAGGGGTGACATTTAAACAATTTTAACGAATTTGCACAAACAGGGAATCTCATTGGCATTAAGGAGAGATTAGAATAAATTCCAATGGTAGGAACTATGCAAGCTTCTTTTTTTAAAGATTTTATTTATCCATTCATTCATTCATTCACTCGTTTAGAGTGAGTTGGGGGAGGGGCAGAAGGAGAGGGAGAGAGAGAATCTCAAGCCGACTCTAAGCGTGGAACCTGACACTGGGCTTCATCTTATGACCCTGAGATCATGACCTGAGCCAAAATCAAGAGTCAGATGCTTAACCCACTGAGCCGCCCAGGCGCCCCAGAACTATGCTGACTTCTACCTAAGAGTACGTATCCAGGCAGAAAGAAGTGAGAACAACGAACTTGCAAAACAACAAAAGGTCACAGGACACATTCCGTGAATGTGGAAACTGATGACATGCTTTAAAAAGTTTGAAATTCATTTTGCGAAGAAACACAGAAACACTTTTGAAATACTTGGAAAGATATTTATATTTTTATCAATACATTTTTCACATTATTAATGCCATCAGTCTGTAATTTATATAAATTGTTAACAAAGTGATGATAACCAACTGACAGTAAATAAATATGCATTTGTTAACTTACTGACCTTTTATGTTTCAGGGAACAAAGAGCTGAACCACTGATCATGAGCCAGGTGAATGAGAGCGTCCCACAGGAGTTCACCCTCCTCGGTTTCTCAGACCGACCATGGCTGGAGCTCCCACTCTTCGTGGTCTTCCTGGTTTCCTACATCTTGACTATCTTTGGCAATCTGGCAATAATTCTTGTGTCTCATCTGGACCCCAAACTCCATACCCCCATGTACTTTTTTCTTACCAATCTGTCACTCCTGGACTTTACTACACCACAAGTATGGTTCCCCAGATGTTGGTAAATTTATCCAGCACCAGGGAAGTGATTAGTTATGGTGGCTGTGTGGCCCAGCTCTTCATGTGTCTAGCCTTGGGGGCCACCGAATGTCTTCTCTTGGCCGTCATGTCCTTTGATAGGTTTGTAGCTATTTGTCGGCCTCTCCATTACTCAGCTATCATGCACCAAAGGCTCTGCCTTCAGCTGGCAGCCGCATCCTGGCTTAGTGGCTTTGGCAACTCAGTGCTGCAGTCCACCTGGACCCTTCAGATGCCGCTCTGTGGCCATCGAGAAGTAGATCACTTCTTCTGTGAAGTCCCTGCTCTGCTCAAGTTGTCCTGTGTAGACACAACAGCAAACGAGGCTGAACTCTTCTTTATCAGTGTGCTATTTGTCTTAATGCCCGTGATACTCATCCTTATATCTTATGCTTTTATTGTCCAAGCAGTGTTGAGAATCCAGTCAGCTGACGGCCAGCGAAAGGCATTCGGCACATGTGGCTCCCATCTGATCGTGGTGTCACTCTTCTATGGTATAGCTATCTCCATGTACCTGCAACCACCATCCCCTGCCTCCAAGGACCAGGGAAAGATGGTGTCCCTCTTCTATGGGATCATCGCACCCATTCTGAACCCCCTTATATACACACTTAGAAACAAAGACGTAAAGGGAGCATTTAAGAGGTTGATTGTGAGGGTCTTCTTATTCAAGAAACAGGAATGCCCAAATGATAGGCTTTCTTAAAGACCTGAGCTTTATGCATTTTAATAATTTAATTGTCTCCACGTTACCTTATTCTCACTACTCTTAGAAAGAACTATTATGGTGATCTTCCTCAAATAAAATATCATTGATAGAAAATTTATTTATTTTCTACTGCCCAAATATATTCATTTTACGAGTCCCAAGAACTGGTCTATTATGATCCCCTGAAATAGTGTGACCTTAAAATATTTAACATCTCAAGCTTTATACCCCTGGTTTGTGTACTTGGGGGAGAGTTAGAGTCCTGTGAGACTAGAATACAAGCGTAGTAGACAAGACATTTTTATACACATGCAAATACATCCACACACACTCAACCCACAGTCAACCCAAATACATTCACACAGGCTCAAGCCACACTTTTCCAGGAAATTTGACAGAAGTCCATAAAGCCATTCACAGCCCCCTCCTCTTAACTGTAGATATAAGGTTAATAGCCCTAGCTTAAATTATTAGCACTATCCCCACATCAACATAGTGCAAAAATCCACAATAATTTTTATTCCACTGTTTCACTAGGTCTTCTATTCTCCTGCTTCTCTACTTTCCATTTCTAAATTAAACTGTCTTATTCTATTCCATCTACCAAATAAAATTGTAGCTACATTTTAGCCCTGAATCAAATGGTTGTTTTTTGAAAAAAACTTTTTCATGATTCTCTTACTGTCTATATTCTCTCTCTCCTTTTAAATCCTAAAGCACTTATAGTCTAAATCATGAAAATAGCACATCATATAATGATGTCCATTACTTGTCTAATGCTCTTTTCTCGTGCAAGAAGCAAAGCTTATTAATTCCATGTGGGTTCCCCTGAGGTAGCAAAGACTGTAATTTATACTAATTCCACATGGCCTTCAGAGCTCATCAAAGGGCTGAGGAAAACACCTAGACACTGTGAATTGGCTATTTGGTTGATTTTAGGATTTATGATTGTCACATTGTAATCATTTTAACTACCTCTTTAATCCTTCTTTTCCCAATTTTATCCTTCTACTAAATATATCATAAAAACAGAAAATACAATAACTAAGAAATGCAATTAGCACGTTTCTTTTTTTTTTATTATTCTTATGTTAATCCCCATACATTACATCATTAGTTTTAGATGTAGTGTTCCATGATTCATTGTTTGTGCATAACACCCAGTGCTCCATGCAGAATG